TCAGGAGTTACTCCTGGCTCTGCACTCAGGAGTTACTGCTGCAGGTACACAGAGGATCATGTGGGATTCTGGGGATAGAATATGGGTTAGCCTTGTGTAAGGTAAGCACACTACTCACTGCACTATCGTTCAGGTCCCTATCAACTATTTTTTTGAGCATTCATTTGGAGCATCTTGTGAAAATCTAGAATATTTTTTTCCCTTTGATGGAGGTGAGGGAGGAGGGCGCACCTATAAGTGCTGAGGGCTTATTCCTGGCTCTGTGCTTAGGAATCACTTCTGACACTGATTGGGGACCTTATGTTGTGCTAGACATCAAATGGGAGCTGGCTGCATGCAAGGCAAGCTCATTACCTGCTGTATTATTCCTCTGGCAATGAAAATGTAAGATCTTTCAAATGTAGGTAGATGCAAATTTTTAGTTACAGTACAACTTGTGTTTTAAAAAAATATTTATTTAGTTGCAGTTTATGGGTACTTTCTGTATCCTCAGTCAGTAGTAGGTGAGAGTAAGGGAGAGGAAATAATTCAATTCCCAATCAGTTTGAGCTATCAGGACAGAAAGCTTAAGCCATGTTTTTCTCATTGACATTCATTCTTTCATTTGTATAAAATACCTACTCTATGATGTATTTATTTCTTCCAACTTCTTTCTCTAAAATGAGAATCTGGTAAATGAGGAGGGCTTGGTAAAAATCATGATTTCTACTGGAATTAATAATAACGTGGGAATTTTAAAATTTATATAGTACAGTTTATTATTTTATGATTCTCTTTTCTCCTCTCCCAAAAACACTGTTGCTTTGGATTTTAAATGTCTACTTGCATTGCTGGAAGCAGTTTGAAGCTACTGAACCCATGTTCTTCATTTTATTTGGATAGAAATACAGAAAAAATAACATATAGAAACATAGAGTTTCAGTCCAGCTCTCTCATCTGTAGACTAAGAGTACTTGCCATTTTCTTAAGCTGCCTCAGTACCCAGATCATTTCCATTTTTTGTTGTCAGACCTTTTAAATTTTAAGATACAACATCTATCTTCATGAATGATCAAGAACATCCAGCAAAGTCCAACCACAGGGCCCCCTGCAAAATCACATGAAAAGGTGTGGCCATTGTAATGTAGAGAAAGTCTATCTCAATTATTCATTATTGTTGAGGTCAAACACAATAATTGTATGAGCAATAATTGTATGGAGAATACCTAGTGTTGTATTTTAATACTCAAATTTTATTCTGGGTATTAAAATTTGCTGGATACTTTCATGAGATTAAATAATAAAGGTCTATATTCATTGTTATTTAAATGAATGTCACATTTTCATGGTTTCTATGACCATTCTTTTGATTTGAATGAGTAAAGCAATCATTTTCTTTCCAGATATAGTAATTGATATCAAAAGGTGCAAGAACTAAACTTCCCTGAACCTCTATGCAAAATATTGTTCTATAGAGTATTTTCTAAATTTTCTAAATCTTAGCCAAAATTATAAATTTCCACAGTTACTGATGCAATTTCTAGATTTATAATGTCCTTTATTATTATATATCCATCTAATGTAACTTTTATATTCATATTTATATTAATACAGTAACTGGAACTGGCTTTCTATTAAATCAACATAATAAGTTGTTGCGTTTTTATTTTTCCAAATCCAACGTAAGGCAGAAACTCTCTGATGACATTTTTTTAAGTAGTAGCCCACCAGAATCTTGTATATATTTTGAACTAAGTTATAGTTATTATGTTTTTTATTACTATACATTCAGAAAGGTGAAAAAATTTTCCATATAAATGTCATTCGAGTTTTTTTCTTCTTTGAATCTGTGCTTTATATATATATATATATATATATATATAAATGTATATGTTAGTATATGCATATTAATGTAACCAGAAAGTATAAAGAGTAAAATAAATTAGCTCCCTTCTTTTTAATGCCCATGCTGACCTTTTCAAAGATTGTTTTGATTTTCTTTTCTCTGCCTCTTGTGGTTCTTCTCTGCCAAGATTTTCTTAGAAATACTGGATCTTTAACATTGGGGGATTCTATATTGACTTCTTCAACATATCATGGAAGTCACTACTTTTGTATTTTGAATAATGCATGTGATATGGATTCACAAGTCTGGGAAATGTGCACCACAAGTTGAGAACCTGAGGCCTAACTCTCTTTCCTTCCTTCCAGGTGATAACCACAATGGGTACATTCTACATAGGCTTCTCAGGGGAAGAACTTCCAGTTCTTTCCCACTGCACTCAACTAGATCATGTATTTTCCCATTCACTTATCAAGAAATATTTCCTGAATGTTTATTTTCCTATGAATTAAGAATCAGTTAGAGACAGAAATTTCAACTTTGACCACAATATATTTAATGTGTCATTGTTCTGTTTCTCCATTATAGAAGACACTGGATGTGACATATGGAAAGCCAACATTGAGGTTAGCACAAACATTACTAAATAACAATATACATGTAAACTAAATTAATGCCAAGAGCTACCACTGTAGACATTGTCATCAATATGTCCTTCAATTTATTTTCCCAAGTGCTTGCAGGTACATAGACCTATTCTGTTTATGAAGCATATGAACCAAAACATGGAGGACATCAAGAATGGCAACCACAGAGAGGATGTACAGGCCCATGTTAATGTAAAAACTTTATCTTCATTAAAGTCATCTCCCCAAACCAGATAATAGGATGGCTCATGCAACAATAATATTCCTGCAGGTAGTTTCATAAAACTCATAAATTAATAGAATATCATAGGTTTCATATTTGTATTGGCAGTCTTTGGTGCATAGCACATGTATATAGCAAATTAAAACTGTAGAATTTTGTCTGTTAGATACATTAATTGCTTTTTATCATCAATAAAAGGTTTGAGAATATTTTTGATGATATAATAAGTTTATTTTCTCTACATGTACATTCACAGTAATAATATAAACATATATGCCATCATATAATAATTATTTTTGTTTTTTGAGGGGAGCTATACCTGGCAGTACTTAGGACTCTTGACTCTGCACTTAGGGATCACTACGATTATGCTCAGAGGATCAGATGTGGTGTTGGAGATTGAAATGGGGTTGGTTACTTTCAAGGTAAGTGCCTTAACCCCTGTGCTATCTCTGAGGCCCCCATGTCTTCTTATTTAATGCACAAATAAATCCTTTATAGTATAGTGCCTTGTCTTTTAAAAACAGGACATTTGCGTGAAGTTTTTAAAAATTTGTTTCTTCCCTGCTAAATTACTGTATTTTAGAAAAAGAAACATTATTCAGCAGCATAGTAAAGCTTACTTTTTAAAACATTCACGTAGTAATCATAAAGTCTCTATCATGCCAATCAGTGGATCCTACAAGAAATTCTACAAATTACATAAAAACCAAATGTGAGTATTTTATTATTATCAGTTAAGTCATAAAACAACTAAGTGGCTCTCACAGCAAGGGCAGAGCAAAACAACTTACTCTTGGTCAATACTATAAATTATCCATCTGATAATCCAACCCGGCCTGTTCTTTCTAACATTGCCCTTTTCCTCTTTCTTGCATAGGGCTGTTCTTTCATTATCAAATATTTTATGAGGCATTCATGCTACTGTTTTTATATCATCTTCTTTAACTTTTACTTTGTTCTTTAACCTGTTGTCCCTGACCAATACATGGGGGAGGAGAGAGTTAGTAAATGAGTAGAGCTTTTGAGGAAGCTTCCTTCCCATGTCTCTTGGCTAGCAGATGTAAAATAGTGAATAGCTCTCATCTACTGGTGTCTGGGATGGTTCCACCATTTGGGATTTATAAAAATGAATTTCTCACCCTCCACAATGTTATGCTTATATATTTATTGTTTCAACTTCTGGGTGAATGGGTGGGTGGATGGGTGGGTGGGTGGGTGGGATTCCTGTGAAACTGATTCATATTTTTTCCCCTATTCATTTATATCCTAGGTAGACTAACTTATGCTGGACCTAGAGAGAATTCTCTTAAGTGTTCTTTCCATAAGCAATTTATTTTTCATTTATATTATATCCATCTTTAATGGTTTGCTTTGCTGTCATCTAATTTAGATTAATGATATGCTAATATGTAAACCAGGGGAAAAATTCTTTCCCTCATGCTACCATATGAATGGGTCAGTGGCAATGCCAATTGCAAGAATAAATTTGGCTTGAAAACTTAGTCCTCATCACTGTCAGCCTCCCTAGCATTTCCCCATTGTATCTGAGGCTTCTTCTGAGAACATCACAGCAGGTCTTCCTCTGATTGCTAAGACATTCTCCAAAGGTGGAACAAGTGTATGAAGCACAATTGACATAATCTAGTCTTTAATGAGATGACTGCAGAGGAAGGTCAAAATTTAAAATGGAATCTTACTTAGCAGCTCTTCAGAACAACAACACAATACATGTTATAATATATACCAAGGTGGCAAAAACAGTTCAGTCCCAAAGAGAATCTTTATCTTTTCCCCCCTCTCACCTAAAATGGGCAATTGCTTTTCTGCCAAAGAGACTCAAAAGGGCCATGAAAACTAAAGTCCTTCAAAGCTGTTAAATGCATCTTCAAATTTATAATAAAATTCAGCATGACAAATCTTCCAGGAAAATCTCTGGAGCCTCCTAGCAGCACTAACACAATTTTTCTTTAAGTCAGTGTTTAAGTATTCAACACCTTGAGAGACAGGGAGAGCAAATGTGGGCCAGGAAAGCAAAGCCAAACAAAAACCAAAATAGAAAGGAAAAGCAACCACAACAAAGACAGTAGGGGGAAAAATGCAAACAGCCACGCAAGCTATTAAACATATGCCAAAGTAAACAATCGGTATGGGCTTGCCCTGCTTTGCCCTGCAGGTAGACACAGGCAGCATGGGAGCAAATGGAAAGGAGAGAGAAAGCAGAGTGGAGGAGCTGCAAAGCTTGAGAGCGGGACAGGCTGATTGTGAGCCTCAAGATACACCATCAGCCATGCAAAACAGGACATACCTTTCTGGCTTGCTGGTTCTGTCAGTTGAGACAAAGCAGTCCCATTCGCAGCGGGAGGCTAAATCAAAATGAAATTTTATTTAGTCTGCACTGTCCCCAGATTGGGTTTCAGAACGACTGCTTTAGGAGATAGCATGGATGTGGCTGATGCATGCTTTGCATATGAAACTGCAGTAGGAAAAGAAAATCTACATAATCAAAAAAATCTGTGCTCTCTGTGTGTGACAAAAACCCTGGCCTCCAGTGATTTTACTGCAGTGTATGTTTTCAGGCGGGCCTTTTTGGGTGAAATGCATGTTTCAAATGTCTTATCTAGTAGTATCTACAAATAGTTAAAAAAAATAATCCTCTGGTTAATAGAAATATATAGGTTCCTGGTTACAACTCCGAAAATTAATTGTGATTTGTTAAAGGTATTTATAGCACATCAAAAATTGCGTGAGAAAGCAAATTGAATTTTAAAACATAAAGGGTTATTATTTTTCTGGTCAGGGGAAGCTTGTTTTGACCATTATTATACTTTGAAATCTCCATCTAATAAATGGGAGGCTCTATTCTGATGCAATATCTGAGAACTGAGAGTCCCTCACTTTCTTTGCAAGACCCTTAATTCATTCATATTTAGAGGAAATTTGTTTTAAATTAGAAGGGAAAAATTCAAACTACACTTTAAATGTTGACGATATTTTAGAAAAAAATTTTTAAGTCCCAGAAAACTCTAGAAAGGGATTGTAAGAAGCAGAGAAAGCATATGAGGGAATTCTTGAAAAATACATAAAATGTATCTACTGTCACTCTGACCATGTTCTTTTCTTCCCACAGGTTTCTCATTGGCCTAGCCCAGGAAGAAGTGACAGGCAAGGGTTAAGAAAACAAGGGGCAGAATAGAACCTGTTGGTAAATCTATATTATTTCTCAGAGAAATACTTATCCCAGCTTGATTTTGATAGATCAATTCCCTGAGGTCAAATGCTGCCAATCATTTGCTTTAGAGATTAAAAAAAAAGGAAAAAGTTAAGAAATGGGGGTGGAGGGAAATACCCAAACCTACCTGTATAAAATGGTAGCAAAAAAGGCCAGAGAGCCTATCCCTCTGCAGAATGCTCTGCAAAATATAGACAGTCACCATGCTGTTCTGTGAAGTATTCCTAAGGACTGGAGGAACTTGGGATCTGTCCGGTTCAGCTCTGAGTAGGTAGTCTCCACTCCACAACCCAGAGCAGCAGAAAAACTTCTCTCAAGAATAAGCCCCAAAGAGCTCAAACAAACAATGTGCTTGCACACGGTCTCGGCAGCGATTGCCAACTAGGAAACCATGGGCTGATGCCCCTTAGAGAAACAGGCAAGGCTGCTTCTGGGGTTTAGTTGGGGACATAATATTCTTAGAAAAGCTTCCCTCGCCTCTAGTTTGGGTTGGCGACCTGTCAGTCATAATATATACAAATGCAAAGGTCCCCTTAAATTGATCATTTTGCATTCACTATGATGGCATCGTGTTCCACTGTGCACGCCATCAGCATAATTAAAACCTAAAATCCAAAGAGAGCCTGCCTTTATTTCCTTTCCCCTCCAGAGCCTCTGCTTCCAGGTCTCCCTAGAACAAGGGCAGTGCCTTGGCTTCTCTGCTGCTTTCAGCCACCCCCCCCCCGTTTTTTTTTTTTGTTGTTGCCTGGGCTTTCTGTTATATCTTAATTATTCAGCTAGTTATTAAGCAGGCATTTTGATGCATATTATTTTTAGAGACAGGACACCCCTTTTCCAAGGAATGGAAAGATGTGAATTCTTAGCAAATCCTATATCCCCCAAATTCAGTGCACCTGGCATTCACTTTCTACCTAATAAGCATCCGTGAATATGCAAATGTTCAGTGTCTCAGTAACCTCATTAATTTATTCCTCAGGCAATCATAGAATGTGAACCAGTTCTGTGCCTCTAGTGCTAGAAATGGTGCCGATCGGGGCTATGAGAATCTGCTGAAAGCCTCGGCTGCATATTGAAATACTGTTTCATCTTTACTCTGTCCTTTGGCTCGCTAATTCAAACAAAGACCCTTGACAGCAAAAAGCAAAAGTTAAAAAAAAAGAAAAGAAAAGAAATGCTGGGAGATAATAATAAAGTCTGCCCCTTCAAGACCAAAAACAAACCAGAGGTGATTCCTGGTTTGAATAAAATCACGACAAAACACTTTTCACACTGCCCATCTTATCTTATTTTGTTACTATTGCCATGTGTGTATGTGTGTGTCAGAAGGAGGCAGGGGGAGCAGAGAACGACCTCCTTTCCATACTGCTATGTAGTCAAGTCTTCTTTCTCTTTGCCCACATTAAAAGCCCTGAATAATGTTTATAAAATGTTAGGGAATCCCGGTAGGTTTCCTATTTAACAAGCCATGTATGACAAATCACAGTGTAATGTACTACGTTCTTAATCTTTAATTAGAATGTGAATATCTGCTAGAGAACGCAGTTAACTTTGACACGTTAAATCTTCTGGTTAAAGTGCCTTACAGGAAGAGCAAAGATGAAGCACTGGAACAATCTCCTGCTTCTCTCCATTCACCCAGACAGTTGGGGGAAGGATGATAACATCTTGTAATACCTGCTCTGTAGTAATTAATCGCTGTGGTATTTAGGACCATTCAAGTAGACAAATATGACAGAGACAGGGACAATTAGGAACCTTGTTCAAGCTACATTAACTTTTCCAGCTATTACAACACGGCAGCTCAAGTTTGCTTGTAAAAGCTGCAGAGGGATTGCTATGCATTAGCCGTGCGATTATTAATGAAAGAAAGGGAGAATTGTGTTTATTGTAGTTTGAAAATTGCAAATAAATTTCAATTATCTGCTATGTCATTTTGTTAAACATGCATTCTGGAAATGACTTTGTACTCTAAATCATGAACTACTTAGAGCAAACTAATACCAGAAACCTTTAGGGAGATAGGAAGTCAATATTTTTGTTTAACTGAATTTTTTTTTGTAAGTGAAATGGGAGATGGGAGAAATACTTGAATGAATTTTAGGTAGCAAGCTCGGGGCATCCTGGCATTCATTCAGCCCGTCATTTGCCAACAGTTCTTGAGTCAGATGTCCCATGCAGACATCAGGACAATCAGAAACACCCAGTTCTAAGAAATCAGAGAGCCTCTCCTTCCATTGAGACCACCCTCAAAAGATGTATAAGAAATCAATTATGATGAATGAATCACGTCTAACTTTTTGCCATAGCTGTTCTTTCCAAATAACAAAGCAATTGGAATGGGGTTGGGAGGAAAACCCTAATAAAGTATTTTCTCAGCTGAAGAGGTGATGGAGTCAAGGTTTCTGGAGAATGGCTCATGTCTATTTCCTTTCAGGAGGACAACTGCCAATCATTTTGAATGGCAAGCTAGACCTGAAATAAAATAAAACAGCAAAATACACTGGGAGAGAAGAAACAAGCACACTCGTTTTTCTACTTCTGTGTCTGCAAGTATTCATTTCTCAAAACAAGCCCAGTATGGATCCAGAACAAAACTGGTCCTCAGCGTGCTTACACAAACCTTGAGTTCAGGTGTACTGTCAAGGGCTGATGAGAGGCACATCTTGGAGCCCCCCAAAATTCCAGTTGAAACTTCCCATAGGTCCAACTAGCACTTTACTGGGGACCCTCCTAGGGCACAGTCCTCTCCATTAATTATTCAGTTGCACTGATCTTCAAGAACTAAATCTGCAAAAATAATTCTGGTGGATCCTGGAGTTAGGAGCCCTTTGCAATTGTCATCTGTAAATTAAAGAAAGACCAGTTTAGCATGACACAAATCTGCATCCCCACCCCAGAATCTGTTGTCACACACACACACAAAAAAGCCGCTCAGTGCTCAGGAACAATCTCCCCTCTCAGCCGAGCTGCGATGATGTCAGCTTTCTGATTACAAACTGCTTATTTATGCTTCAACAGCTGCCAAGAGCAGCAAATAAGTGGCTAAAAGAGTGTCTAGACCAGGCTTTCAGGCCTCTATTGTCTGGAGGTTGTTACCTGGTTGACAGCGATGGGTCCAGCTGCGTGGCGTGAAAGGGAGCAGAGATGGCCAGCCGGTGATTGACAGAAGTGCCCGCTGGGTCAGCCCCAGTGCCCCAGTGTCATTATACCCCGGCTCCGAAGGGAAAGCCAGGGCCCTGCCTTGAGGTTGGAGGTGAAAGGAAATGTTGGAGGGCAATGAAAAAATCTTTTGGCCAAATTTGTGATCATGAGCACTTCCCTAGGGGAAGCAAAGTGGGCGCAGAGTGGCCCTGAGTGGGCATCACCGGCAAAGGGAGAAGCCTGGCCATTTCTGAGACCTTGCAGTCCCTGGAGGCAGCGTGTTTGGGCAATGTTCACTCTCCCTCCTTCTCTTTCTTTCCATCTCCTCTGCAGTGGGACAGTTCATCCCAAGCAAATGCATTTGCAGCGACCTTTTACATTCACCTCTCTGGTAGTCTGATGAGGGTTTTCTAACCCTTCCTTGCAGTATTTACAGTTGTAGACCTACAGAACATGAACATTCCAGCAAGGGGGGGGGGGTGGGGTGGGCTGGGGGGACAAGAGGCTTTTCAAACTGACATCATTACCTAATTAGAATTTTCTACCGCTAGTTGCAACCTTGGAGTCTTCCTTATTTGTTTCCAGTCACAGCCTCCGTCTTAACACTTTTCAGAGCAGATTCGGAAGTACCAAATCACTCCCCTGATTCCTGCATCTCTTGATTCTTTGCAGTTGATTGGCACCAAACGTTCTTGGCTTTCATTTTGCTCCTCTTCTGTTCCCTATTGTACAGTTTGGAGTTCTTGAGAAGAAAATACTTCTATATATTGATCACTGAGAGGCATTCATTTGAATATTAGAATTTGAATGAAACATTCCCTTATGATGTCCAGGCCCTTGTTACGCCTTTCAACTTCACTGCACCTTCTTAGGAGTTGTAGTGTTGTTATTCAGATGCCATTGATCCAAGACGGGCAGTTAAAAAGTACAGCAAAAACATCTTTATACCTTCACGGACTTATTTTTATTTAAAAAAAAGTAGTGATTTTTTCCCCAAGTGTTGACCATGGTCTATAATAAAAATAATAGGAGCCTACCATAGTCTTAAAAATGGTAGCATAAAAAGATTTAGAAAGAAGAAGAGAAAGCATTCCACTATGTGTAAAATGACATCCATTTAAAATCATGGTAATCCTCAGGAGCTGCCAGACTTGAATGAAAAGCAGGAGGGCACCTGAGGAGTCAAAGCTTAATTTGTGTATACAGTTGGCTTTCTCCATAATATCTGATTCAGACTCTGTAACGGAAATGAAATCACGTTAAATTAACTGTAAGAAATAAGTTGATTTAATTAAGCACAGAAAGACTTAATAGATATAATAAAATGTTAAAAAGTCGAATGATGTGCAGTTACATTTCAGTTAACACTGCTCAACAAATGTACTAAATTTATTCCTTTCAATAATGATGTGTTTTGAACATTTAATTAGATAAATAATGTCTAATCACTTCAGCAAATCTGAACTAGAAGAATCCTTGTCATTAAAGGTGACTCAGGCTTGTTATATCTACCTTTACAGGGAAGGAAAGTGGGCAAACTTCAGCTTTTTTCAAGGAGATGAGCAGAAACTAAGGTAAAGTATGTCTTTCAAGTCTCATTAAAATTCAGGGTTTGCTAAACAAACTACTATTTACAGTAAGATGAGTGTTATTCGAAATAGACTTCTACTTGTTTGCTTTTTTGAAAACATCAGAAACTATAAGCAGCTGATAAGAAAAGGTTTTCAGTGTTAGATGTCCTGTAATTCATCATAAGACTGTTTCCTTTAATAACTACTTTGCTCAAGTGATTGGCATGATTACGAGAAAATTACTTCAAATTATTCATCTCTTATCTTTCCTCTAAGATGTCCTAAGTTGGATGATAGTTAGCATAATGGGACCCTATTAATTACTAATATAGAAAATCCTTCACAATTTGGATAGACTTTGTAGCCCAAATAAAGAAAATCATGCCAAATGTAACCTTACATCATCTCCTTAAGATGGTGCCACCCACCGTCTATTAAATGGAATGTCAAGGACATTTATTTCTTCACTTAAAATCTGCTAAGAAGCCAGTCTATATATAAATAGCAGACTCATTATTAACATCATTCTACGTATACACACAGCT